TCAGGGCAGGTGGCAGGCAAGGATAGGCAGAGGTCAGGGCAGGTGGCAGGCATGGATAGGCAGAGATCAGGGCAGGTGGCAGGCAAGGATAGGCAGAGATCAGGGCAGGTGGCAGGCAAGGATAGGCAGAGGTCAGGCAAGGATAGGCAGAGGTCAGGGAAGGTGCCAGGCAAGGATAGGCAGAGATCAGGGCAGGTTGCAGGCAAGATTAGGCAGAGGTCAGGGCAGGTGACCGGCATGGATAGGCAGAGGTCAGGGCAGGTGGCAGGCAAGGATAGGCAGAGATCAGGGCCGGTGGCAGGCAAGGATAGGCAGAGATCAGGGCCGGTGGCAGGCAAGGATAGGCAGGGGTGAGGGCAAGGATAGGCAGAGATCAGGGCAGGTGGCAGGCAAGGATAGGCAGAGGGCAGGGCAGGTGGCAGGCAAGGATAGGCAGAGGGCAGGTGGCAGGCAAGGATAGTCAGAGGTCAGGGCAGGTGCCAGGCAAGGATAGTCAGAGGTCAGGGCAGGTGGCAGGCAAGGATAGGCAGAGATCAGGGCAGGTGCCAGGCAAGGATAGGCAGAGGAGGTCAGGGCAGGTGGCAGGCAAGGACAGGCAGAGGTCAGGGCAGGTGGCAGGCAAGGATAGGCAGAGGTCAGGGCAGGTGCCAGGCAAGGATAGGCAGAGGTCAGGGCAGGTGGCAGGCAAAGACAGGCAGAGGTCAGGGCAGGTGACAGGCAAGGATAGGCAGAGGGCAGGCGAGAATATCAGGAACGAGCAAGATCAGAAATGAAGGCAGAATATATGGGCAGAAACAATTCGGGTCGGCAAGGAGCAAGTCCAGGAAGAGGTCAGGGTAGGCAAAGCCCAGGTAGAGGTTGAGGCAGGTGGCAAGCACCTATAGGCAAAGCCTAGGTAGAGGTGGCAGGCAAGGATAGTCAAAGTCCAAGCAGATGTGGGGGCAGGGGGCAGACGAGAATATCAGGAACAAGCAAAGATGGCAATGAAGGCTCAATATATGGGCAGAGACAAACATTCTGGGTTGGCAACAAGTAAGCCCAGGCAGAGGTCGGGGAAGGTATCGGGCATGGATAGCCAAAGCCCAGGCAGAGGTCGGGGAAGGTATCGGGCATGGATAGCCAAAGCCCAGGCAGAAGTTTGGGCAAACAAGCATAGCTAAAGTCAGGGCAGGCAAAGATAGCCAAAATCCAGGTAGAGGTCAGGGCAGAAGGAAGTCAAGGACAGCCAAGGTTCCGGCAGAGGTCAGGGCAGGCAAGGATAGTCCTGCTC